CTCTCTCCCTCTCTCCCACTCTGTTTATTCTTCGACAGAACCCTCTCGACCATCGCCATCGCGACCACCTCTCTTCTCCCTCGTAAGACCCTGTCTGTTTCTCCTTCTTCAACAGATCCCTCGACCACCGCCATCATGACAGCCTCTTCCTCATCCCCCTTTATCACTTCAGTCCTCTCCTCCTCGCAACAGATCTCACCGAAACCCTTTTTGCCTCTTTGCTATCGATGCTTGGCAAGGTACGATTTTTGTTTGTTTTGATTTCGATTTTTTTGAATTTGGAGGCAAAGAGGGTTACTAATAAATTGGTGTATTGTATTAGACACCGTTGTTGTTGTACGAAAAATGCGAGGTACGATTTTATCACTTGGTGTTGGTGTTTGCGTATTGTATCACTTGGCAAGGTACGATTTTATCACTTGGTGTTGGTGTATGCGTATTGTATCACAACAGTGGAGTTTTTTCTGAATTTTTTTTGGTTCATTGTAGGCGTTTAATGGAATTACAGCTGTAAAAACCCTAGGTCAGCTTTCAGTTTATATATCTATACTTTTACATATATTATATGATAGAAACATAAACATATACATATATTATATATCTATACTTTTATATTATTATATAATGCACACAACTCACTTGCTATGAACAAAACCTACTACAGTTCTTTACTTTTCCCAAAGGGCTAATTTCAAACTTTTATCACCAATTTTTGTTTATTTATTTATTTTTTTCATCCCTAAACTACCATTTTCATGTATTTAGTTCCTGAAGGTTCTGATTTCAGTTGATGTGGTCCAATTGAAAATGATTACACAAATCAGTAACTGTAGAAGCTCAATTTGATGAAATAATATAACGAAACACGCATTTTTCCTCCACCGTTGTTGGTTGTTAAGTTGAGGTTTGGAGTGGAGGACAGACCCATTGCCATTCTGAGAAGGGAGGGAGAGAGAGAGAGAGATTTTGAGACAAAGTTGGGAGAGATCTAGAACAAGTTACACAGATTTGCTTTTCTCTTATCCCCACACCCCAATTTGCTTCTTTCCTCCCTCAGGTAAATTCCCCTCTGTGTGTGTGTGTGTATATATCTACGCATGCATTTTCTTTTGCATCCGTGTTGTTAGAATGATGATGCCCGTTCTAAAAAATCTAGGTGGTTATTTATGGGACTCAACATTTTTGAATTCTCTATTGCATGTGAGGCATGTGTGCATTTATAATTGAATCCAATTAAAGTCAGTCAAGTGGATCATCCTATTGTTGCTGTAATTGCTGAAAATTTAGTTAATTGTTTGTGGTTTTGACGGTTTCTGATGAATTGCTTGAGCTTTCTCTATGGGAATATTGATCTTGATTGTGATGCAAAGTAACACAGTATCTCTGTAAATTCATGTACACTATGTTTGTAAAATTAGTCATCTTTCGAAGTTCACTTTTTAATCTCTATGTAGTTTTTATTTCTGATCAACATTTGATTTGTTATAAAATAAAATCTGCTGATACATATCAAATTTTATCAAACAAAATTTCTTTGTATCAATAAATTTTTCATATCATCTTTGGGAATTGCACAGTGTGCTTGCCACCCCACAAGGGTTGAGCCCAATTCCTGTTTTGACTTGCAGATACATACCAAGATACACCTTTAGTTGGCTGGTCAAACCTATGTAGTGGGTCATAAGTACGTGAACTTTTGTCAATTTCACATGGATTCTGACTTTTCGTGTTTGTGAACTAATAAATGAAAGTTTTGTTCTTTTCTTAACAGAGTTTCTTCATAGGGCCGCTGATCTTACACTGGTTCCATCAGCTGCCCTTGCAAAGGAGCTTGAAGCAGCTAGGGTAACAGCAGGTAAATGAACATCACCCAATAGATAACTCTCTGAAATTTTACATTGATCACATAATAGAATTTGACATTTATGCTTCTGTTTGAATTTTTATTTTATTTTTTTCAAATGTTTCTTTGAAAATAGCAGCTCATATCCATGTTAATTCTTTGTTTATTTTCAGGTAACAAGATTCGTCTCTGGAATAAGGGTGTTGATTCTGAAAGCTTCCATCCCAAATATCGCGCTCAAGAAATGCGAATAAGACTAAGGTATGGCTTTCTTTCAATCCTTAAAATTTCATTGCCATGTAATATGAGTTTCCTCCAAATGTTAATATATTGTTCTTTTTTTAATCAGCAATGGGGAGCCCGGGAGACCATTGATAGTCCATGTTGGACGACTAGGAGTTAAGAAGAGTTTGGATTTACTCAAAAGGTACTGCTCTTTTATTTCAAATGATAAGTATTTTCTGCTTTTGCAATTTAGGAAATATTACTTGCAAAATATTGACGAAATAATGCTTTTTTCATAATTATTATAAGTTGTAACCATTGACATTTGGGATGTATGATTGAACAGTGTCATGGACCAGATACCGGAGGCACGAATTGCTTTTATTGGAGATGGACCATACAGGTATTTCTCTAAGGACTTATTGGCTGTTTAGTTTTGTCAACATTGGCGGAACAATCTCTATAAAATATAGTATAAAATGATTCTTTGTATTAAAAACCACAAACCGCTGTCTAACGAAATGAATTATTTATTTTTATATTTTTGCTTACATCCAATGATACACAAATTAGGCCATGATGATCGCCTGAATTTATTTTCCAGTAAGAACCATGGGCAAAATTTATTCATGTAGAATGATTTCTTCGTGGCAGGGAGGATCTGGAAAAGCTATTCTCCGGCATGCCTGCCGTATTCACAGGGATGTTAGGGGGTGAACCCTCAACTTTCCAATAAGGCCAAGGGGAATAAAAACACTTAACCAACTGGGGGAGGAATGAATATTGAGATTTTGAACTTCCAAAAATGTTACTCATCGATATATCAGTTGATACATATGAGCTGATAAATACTGATATGTGTCCCAATACAGTTGATATATATAGGATTTGAATTTTTGAATGGTGGTGGCAATTTGCAGGTGTTGCATCACTTCTGGGGAAGAGATCTATGTCATTTTCAGCCATTGAAGTGTGTGATCATGAAACCAATGGGGTTGAAGATGACTTATCAGATGATGGGTCACAAGCTAGCGAGAAGAAGAGGAGACTGAACTTGGAACAAGTGAAAACACTTGAGAAGAACTTTGAGTTGGGAAACAAGCTTGAATCTGAGAGGAAAATGCAGCTGGCAAGGGCTCTTGGGTTGCAACCAAGAAAAATAGCTATATGGTTTTAGAACAGGAGGGCTAGGTGGAAGACAAAGCAGTTAGAGCAAGACTATGATGTTCTTAAGAGACAGTTTGATGCTATCAAGGCTGATAATGATGCTCTCCAATCTCAGAACCAGAAACTTCAAGCTGAGGTATGGTTTTCGAAATTTTTGTTTTTTCGAAAACAAAAATAATGAGGAGTTTAGAAACACTCATCGTTTTCATTTTTGTTTGAAAACAGCTGTTGAAAATTTGGAAAAGTTTTTGAAAGTGTTTTTCTAAAAGACGGGTGTTTTTAGAAATTGCCAAACAAAGTTTTCAGATCATTTTTTTAAAACAAAATTTGAAAACAAAACCAAAGGGAATTAATTCCAAAATTATTTTGATGCTTTGGGAAGATGCATGTGTTGATAACTGTTAGATTTTAGTTTGGACAAAATTCCCCTTCTTTATTGCCAATTGAGTAAGCAACTTTTCTTTTCTTTTGTTTTTGTTTTTGTTTTTGTATTTTTTTTTTGGGTGGATTGATTAAGAAGAAGAAGAAAAAAAATCAATTTGAATCACTTTAGATAGCCATAATTATGGTCGTCATTTTGGGTGTTGTTTCTGTTTTTCAAGTTTTCAGAAACAAAAACAATGAGTAGTTCAAAAACACCAATTGTTTTCATTTTTTTTGTGGAAGTAACTTTGAAAATTTAAAAAACAATTCAAATAAGCTTTTTTCAAAAAACTTCAATTTTCAAAAACAGTTGGCAAGGAAATTTTCTGAGTCAACTTCTATTTTCTGTTTTCCAAAGTAAAAGACTATATTAAACTCACCCATATAGTTGTTGATTTTCATTCCATTCTATTACAAACACAGAAAAGAGCATAAAACATGCATTAATGAAATAAAATTTTATAAAATTCGCTGATGAGGCCGACTTTAAAAAAAAAAAATTGTCTTTCATATATAGTAATGCTACAAATCCAGAAAATTTACTTTAGAAAATCACATAGAAAAAAAAAAAAATCAATAGTCTGCATCTATTTTGAGTGTGTGTGATCTACATTCCATCAACTTTAAATTTACATCACACACTCACTTTTAGAATAATATTCAAGATAAATTTTCATGAACCATTGCATTTTATTCCATATATATTTTATGTCCGATGCTATAATCAGTTTTTATGTATCCAAAACTTCTTGATTTTTCCTATCTAAAAAACGAACTTCCTGATTTTGAATCGAATGAATGCAGATAATAGCACTTAAAAACAGAGAGCCAACAGAATCAATAAACCTAAACAAAGAGACAGAGGGTTCAAACAGCAACAGAAGTGAAAACAGCTCAGAGATCAAGCTAGACATCTCAACAAGGACCCCACCAGCCATGGATAGCCCTTCATCAAACCATCATCATGGCCATCCAATTATTCCAACAAGCAGCAGCAGACCCCTCTTTCCACCCTCCATCATCACCAGGCCCACTTCTGCTGCCATGGCCCACCTCTTCCCAAACTCTTCTTCTTCATCAAGACAACCTGACCACAAGATCATTGATCATCAAAATGCTGTCAAAGAAGAAAGCTTTTCCAACATGTTTTGTGCCATTGATGATCAATTTGGGTTTTGGCCATGGTTGGAACAACAACATTTCAATTGAATTGAAACCCTCCATTGGCTGTATTAGAATCAGCAATGCTATATATTCAGAAAAAAAAGAAGAAGTAATGTTACATGTAGTCTCATTTGTTATCTTATTTTCTCACTTGAGACCCAATTACTGTGTTTAGAGATGAGAAAATACGATAAGAAATCTATATAATATGAGAAGAAGGTTTTTGAATTTTTGTGAGATTCACGTCATTGTTGGGCCAATGTTCGCTGGAAAAACAACAGCTCTCCTTCGTCGAGTCAAATCTGAGGGCAACAATGGCAGGTACTTTGTTGACTTTGTTAATTTCGTGAATTTGAGTTTAATTCTGATATTCTGAGAAGTAGCTAGAGAATTAAGCTTTACCCAGATTTGTAAAGTTGGGGGTTCTGATTTGTAATTTAATTTGTGCAATTTATTCTCAACACTTTTATGGTGTTATGTAGTTAAGAAATTCTGAATGTTAATTAATTGTAGATGATAACGTGTTAAGTTTATGTTGGATGCATAAAGAATTTTATTTTATTTTAACTATTATTTTGGGGCCAACCATGTAAATGTAGAAATGTTGCAATAATAAAGTTAAGCAAGGATACGAGATATGCGGTTGACTCGGTGGTGACACATGATGGGACAAAGTTTCCCTGTTGGGCGTTGCCGAATCTGTTGTCATTTAGGCAAAAATTTGGAGATGAGGCTCATGCCAAGGTATTTCAAACTTGAACCATTTGATTTGTGTTTTTTTTTTTATAATTTTTTTTTTGGTTCAGTCTATGGTGTCCCAGTTGTTCTATGGGCTTGGTAGCTTCATAAGTTGGATGTGTTTGATATATTGTAAGCGATATTGAACTGATGTTACTATCATCTTCATGGTTTTATGTAAGAAGAATTTGATTGTTTCTTGTGGCTTGACATTGTACAAGTTACTTTTCTAATTATTGGTGTTGGTAAACCATATGTGAGCTAATTTAACTGGTAGACAAGTAATCTTAACTGTTTAGGCTCTCTTTTTTATTTATTTTTTAAAATGTGAAACCAAATGCTATTCACGATTAACACCATTGCAGTCCTATATTTAAGTTTGGAGTTTTCTTTTTTTAATGCTTTTTCTATTATCTTCTAAATGCTGGTTACATGTTGGCAGCTGGATGTGATTGGCATTGATGAAGCTCAATTTTTTGGCGACCTTTATGATTTTTGCTGCAAGGTTACTGACCATGATGGGAAAACTGTAATAGTTGCTGGGCTGGATGGGGACTACTTGAGGTTTTTCTTATAGATTAATTCTTTTTTTTTCTTTTCCTAGATGCAAATTTGTGACGGGCCTTTGTTGTGGTGTTTTTGCTTGATAATATAAATATTTTTCGTATGCCCGTGCCTAGGCATACACAAAATTCATGTTAAAGTCAATAAATTTGATAAATTACATTTTAAATCAATACTTTGAAATTTTTAAACATCAAAATAATTATTTGTTTACTGGCAGTGGGAGTATTTCAGTGCTTTTTCATGGACTGCATCACAAGAGTTATGGGTAATTTCATTGTTATTTTATTCGAGTTCTGTAAAACGTGTGGTATAAATAAAATTGTTTAAGTTTTTTCAAAAGAATAGTATTTCTTTATATTTTTTTCAATATTTTTGTCAAAACATATTACAGACTCTATAAATTTTAATATGATACGTATGAATTACAATTGTATTTTGATCACAACATTATTTGCACCGTGCCTTTAGGCACGGGCATACGCTAGTTATATAACAAATCAAATGGGACCACATGTGATTTGATTTTAATGCCACATGTGATTAGATTTTAATATCACATCCCAAATTGTTAATCCCCTCCATAGATAAGTTTCAATATTTCATAGTCCCATGAGAAAATAATAAATAAGTATCTTTTGCATATAATTTATATATATTTTTTGAATAGTGCGTATAATTTATATTGATATGGTCTTTTTAGTTACAAAGTTTTTATTAGTGTGTATAGTGCGTATAATTTCATAAAATTTATTAGTTTGTGTAGAGGGTCAGAAATTAAGCCCCAAATTAAGTATGGATCTAAGCGCTTGAGTTATCCCTTTAAGGCGACCAAGAATGACTGGAGAAGCATGAGTCAAAGCCCAGGGAAAGTGGGCCAGCATTGGGCCGAAGCAGGTCCGACCTGCCAAGGTTCCAAATGGACTCCACAAAGGAAAATGCCTAAGTCAAGTTGCAGAGGCAACACATGCAATGGTCAAGCGGTGGAGGGAACACTTGCGACGGTCAAGTTGCTGAGGCACTTTACCTCAGCGCCGTTGTAGACACCCCATTTTTGACCAACTTTGAGACTCAAACGTCACCAGTTGAGCGCTCGGTGATATTGCATATAGTGCTCGTTCAGAAGTTTCAGAGTCTCGGCTGCGAGCCTTGCCTCCGGACTTCCGGACTCTTTCATGCTTTGCCTCAGTTTGCGAACCAGGCTCTGTTTTCTCTTCCCGAAGGGAGGGAGAGGTCTCGTAGATCATCTCTCAGTGGCCGTAGGCTACGTTTCGTGGTCGTAGGCCATTTTGCCCGTCTGGAGTCTGATTTTCGATTTTTCAGAGCCGTTGGCCGTGCGCCTCGGTTCGGGACCGCTTAACCACCTCCGTTTGCTTCGGTTTTTGGCATGCATCTTATCTGCTCCCTTTCGAGGGACACTGTGGCTCGAGAGACCAACTTCGTGGTCGAACACCACTTTCGGTGCCTAACAGTCAGTTTTCGGGGCCTCGGGCTGCGCGTTTCGGCCCCCGAACCTTCATTTTACATCGGTTTGAGTTCATTTTTGGCAGGGACCTCTGTTTCACTGTTAAGAAGGTCGTAGAAGGGTGGGAGGCCAGTAATTGTTTTGACAACTAGTTTTATTCCTCCATCGCCCTCCGTCGCTCGTTTTTCTCACTTTAAAGCCAATGTTGACCACCCTAAGGCCACTTTTTCCAGCCCTAAACCACATATTTGTGTTGTACACACCTGGGAGGCCACTAATATCACATGGTCGGCCAGTCGTTGTGCGTGACCCTTTTGAACCCCTCCTAAAAGTGGCCTTTTCTCTCTCCTGGTTCACTTTCTCTAGTTTTTGACCACATGGTTGTGTTGTGCACACATGGGAGGCCCTCTTTTTGGCATGGCCGGCCATCAATCATGATTGACCCTTTTGACCCTTGGCCGGCCGGCCATGGGGAAGGCCGGCCGGCCACCTAAACCCTAGAAAAGCAGCCGGCCTTGCTCCTCTCTCCTGGTACATCACAAATATGTATTCTGTTTCCCCCCAAATTCTGTATCTGGGGGGGAAACTTGAATTTGAATCTCCCCCCCCTTTTCTCCACTCTTGTGCCTATATAACCAGCTCCCCCAGCTGTGTTTTGAGGGTTAGAAAGTTTTGGTTTAAGTCTCTTGCATCTAATCTCTCTCTATATTCCAACCATCAAAACCCCTCAAGTCCTACACCATTTCTACACCATCTCCAAGCCAACCAATCCACACTCCATCCCAGTAGCTTCAAGGCCATTTCCAGAGGTCAAGGGCTCCCAAACTTGGCCCAAGAGTTGTTGAAGACATAGGCTACAAGGGTAAGTCTCCTTCTCCCTCTTTCTTACGTATTTTTGCTCAATATATTAGCTCCTCTTTCTTGCATATTTGGGCTCTGACCCTAACTGAAAATAGCATTATTTTAAGCTCTATTTAATGTTTGTTTAAGGGCCTCTCCCTGTTTGAGGCTTCCTTTTTACACTTTCTTCTTTACCTCTCCTGTATGCCTCTTTCTTGCATAGTATTTTAGGCCTATTTTTAAACTGTTTTGAGCTTGGTTATAAACTTTAAAGTGGCTTAGTTTGAGCCCTTCTTCAACATTTTTGAAGGGCTCTTCACTGTTTGAGGCTTCCTTTTGTCACTTGCCTCTTTATCCCTCTTTTGGCCTTTTTTTTGCATGTTTTGTTAGCCCCTTGTGCTTGTATTTTTAGGCTCTGGTCCGAACTGTAAATGGCCTTATTTTGACCCCCTCTTCATGTTTGATCAAGGGACCTTTGCTGTTTGAAATTCTCTTTTTGCTCTTTGTGTTTAAACCTCTTTTTAGGCCTTATTTTGCATAGTATTTTAAGCTTGCATGCGCACTGTTTTGGGTCTGGTCACTAACTGTAAAACATCATTTTTTGGGCCCCTCTTAAACTTCGTTGAAGGGTCCTCCTCTGTTTGAGGCCAGAAACCATCACTTGCTTCTTTGTCTCCCTATTGGCCCATTTCTTGCACAATGTTTTAGGCCTGTTTGTGTTTAGATCCGTGGCTTGTTGTAAACTGTAAAGTGCTTCATTTTGAGCCCCTATTCAACTTTGTTGAAGGGCTCTTGGCCATTTAGGGCCAGAAGCTGCTACTTGCTTCATTACCTCTCTTACGGGGCCATTTTTGAATGCTAGTTTAGTCCTATTTGTGTCCATTGTTTGGCCTTGCTTAAAATTGTAAATATGCTTGTTTTGAGACTGTCTTGATTCTGTCATCACACTTCGTATTCAAATAATGCATGCTTTGCATAGCCATAGGTCATTCCATGTACCTAATTTCATGTTTCGGGTCTCATTCCATGCATCGGGTGCCATGTTTCCATGTATTTTGGATCATTTTGCATCACATTTTAGTGCTGAAACTTGCATGTTAGTATTCCATATTCCATGCCTGGCCATGTCTTGTTAGAGTGGCATTTGGTGCCCTAAGGTCGGTCCTCGGTTTGTGTGCATGTGTGCACGCATTTCGAGTGTCTCATTTTTCATCTAATGGCCTCCTATGTGAGTGTGGCTGAGGTCCACTCATGTTTGTGTAAGTCCATTATGCATTGTGTATGCCATTTCATTTCATAGCATTGCGTATGCTAGGTTGTATGTTAGCTCATTGTGTATGCCATGTTATCTCGTGCATCGTGTATGCCATTTCATAGCATTGTGTATGTTAGGTTGTATCTTAGTTGCATTTCATGCATATCATGCATATTGCATCGTGCTTGGGATAGGAGTTAGCCCGAGCACGGGAAACGAAGGATGTTTCATACTCCGAGTGACGGAACGTGTCTCAATTCCTGGTCACCGACACTCCGGATTATCCATGATGGAGTCTAGGCCCTGTTGTGTTTATGTGTGCATTCATTTCATATTGAGTCATACAATTCGACTCCTCGGCCATTATGCATCGATGTGCGTGATTGGTGGCAAGAGGATCGAGACATGCATACATTTGTGAAAATATATTGCCATGCCCTTTTCCTGTTCTCTGTTGCAGCAAATCAAACCGGCCACTTTTCTTTCCAGCAGCCTTTTTTTTTGTCCTGAAAGTAGCAGGCCGGCCAGAAAATCTAGCAGGCTGGCCACCTAGCTGGTGAAATGACTTTTTTGCCCTTTTTAGCTAGCCGGCCATAACCCCCTCCCCAAGTGTGTCCTAGAAGTGAATTTTATTTTCCTCTAGGCCTTATGTCCGAGGGTTTGGCCTTTTGGAGGGAAACTTGATTCATTTCCCTCCATTTCCCCCCTCCCTTTTTTCCCCCCTTTTGTCTATATAGCAGCAGCTCTAGCTGCAGGTTTGAGGGTTACAAAATTTCCCTTTAAGCCTCTTGCATTATATCCCTCTCCCTATTTATTCCAAGCTCAAAACCTTTCAAGTCCTACACCCCTTTCCACACCACCACCAAGCACCACACCACCACCATCCCTTCCAGACACTTGGAGCTGGTTTTCCAGAGGCAAGGAGAACCTTTTCCCAAGCCAAGAGGCTGTTGAAGTTCGGTCTACAAGGGTGAGCCATACTTTCCCTCTTTTTGAGCTTCTTTTGCATCCTTTCTAAGCCATACGTTTTTGCATATTTGGGCTCCGACCCTAACTGAAAATAGCATTATTTTGAGTTCCTTTTCATGTTTGTTTAAGGGCCTCTCCCTGTTTGAGGCTTCCTTTTTACACTTGCAATTAGAAAAATTAGTAATCAAATGGAATCACAAGAATAAGATAAACATCTATATAATAAGGCAAGAAGTTTTTTGAAAATGTATAGAAATGTCTCAGAGATACATTTAATTTGGACGGCTGAGATCAATCTTCAGTATATGTCAATGGCTCTGAATTATTTATTTCCCGCCCAAACACTTCTCTTCCTTAACCTTCTCACCTACCCGCGTCTCTCTCTCCCTCTCTACTCTCACCCACGTCTCTTCCTTCCTTTTTTATCTCTCTCTCCCTCTTTGTTTATTCTTCGACAGAACCCTCTCGACCACCGCCATCGCGACCACCTCTCTTCTCCCTCGCAGGACCCTGTCTGTTTCTCCTTCTTCAACAGATCCCTCGACCACCGCCATCATGACAGCCTCTTCCTCATCCCCCTTTATCACTTCAGTCCTCTCCTCCTCGCAACAGATCTCACCGAAACCCTTTTTGCCTCTTTGCTATCGATGCTTGGCAAGGTACGATTTTTGTTTGTTTTGATTTCGATTTTTTTGAATTTGGAGGCAAAGAGGGTTACTAATAAATTGGTGTATTGTATTAGACACCGTTGTTGTTGTACGAAAAATGCGAGGTACGATTTTATCACTTGGTGTTGGTGTTTGCGTATTGTATCACTTGGCAAGGTACGATTTTATCACTTGGTGTTGGTGTATGCGTATTGTATCACAACAGTGGAGTTTTTTCTGAATTTTTTTTGGTTCATTGTAGGCGTTTAATGGAATTACAGCTGTAAAAACCCTAGGTCAGCTTTCAGTTTATATATCTATACTTTTACATATATTATATGATAGAAACATAAACATATACATATATTATATATCTATATCTATACTTTTATACTATTATATAATGCACACAACTCACTTGCTATGAACAAAACCTACTACAGTTCTTTACTTTTCCCAAAGGGCTAATTTCAAACTTTTATCACCAATTTTTGTTTATTTATTTATTTTTTTCATCCCTAAACTATCATTTTCATGTATTTAGTTCCTGAAGGTTCTGATTTCAGTTGATGTGGTCCAATTGAAAACGATTACACAAATCAGTAACTGTAGAAGCTCAATTTGATGAAATAATACAACAAAACACGCATTTTTCCTCCACCATTGTTGTTTGTTGAGTTGAGGTTTGGAGTGAAGGACAGACCCATTGCCATTTTGAGAAGGGAGGGAGAGAGAGAGAGAGAGAGAGAGAGAGAGAGTTTGAGACAAAGTTGGGAGAGATCCAGAACAAGTTACACAGATTTGCTTTTCTCTTATCCCCACACCCCAATTCGCTTCTTTCCTCCCTCAGGTAAATTCCCCTCTGTGTGTGTGTATATATCTATGCATGCATTTTCTTTTGCATCCGTGTTGTTAGAATGAAGATAAACGTTGCCCGTTCTGAAAAATCTAGGTGGCTATTTATGGGACTCAACATTTTTGAATTCTCCATTGCATGTGAGGCATGTGTGCATTTAGAATTGAATCCAACTAAAGTCAGTCAATTGAATCCAACTAAAGCTTTTTTTGAGACTGTAAGTCAGTAGTAGAATATGTGATTCAAGAATGCACGTGAGTTCTAGCTAGCTCGCACAATTTTATTAGATCACACGGGCACAGTGGAACTACTTCAGTGTGTTTTTGGTTGCCTTCCCTTTTGATGGAATTTATTACTATGGGCATGCTAATATGCTAAACATGTGTGCATTGGCCTGGGAAATATCCAGTGCCCCTAGATTCCCTAGATCTTATCTCTTTTACATTTCACCCCGGAGGTGATACTGTTATAGGAACTTTGAGAATCTCTTCCCAACAGAGTGCAAAAACAAATCTCAATGTGGAGCAGGTCTTCTTTTCTATTGCTCGAGACATAAAACAAATACCTGCAGAGAGTGACTCCAAAGCAGAGGTACATGTATACGTTAGTGAATTTTCTTGAGGGTTTATAGACAGTGGTGGATCTAACATGTGTCCCTTCAATGACTC